AATAATGCATACTACTTAGGAATAGTAATAATGCATACTACTTAGGAATCTATTTTATTTTTAGGATGGTATTATAAAAGTGAAATTCAGGCATAGATAATATTTTTAACTAAATTTATTCAGTTCCCATGTGCTCATAGGTCCTTAATGTTTTTCATTAATAATCCTTAAAAGTACTTAATTTCTGTGTGCAGAAATGTGTACGAACCCTGTTATAGATCATCAATTTAAATCTGGTAAGATGGCATGTAGAAATTATACAATTAAAAATATGAAACCATAATTTATGAAATAAAGAGCAATTATGATCTAAAGGGTATCAAATTTTACAAAAAAAAAAGCTTAATATTTATTTGTTTAATTTATTAAACATTTCTTTCAATGTGCGCATGCGTAAGGCATAGCATACATTACGCTCGTGCCTAATGTATGCACATTCTGTACGTGCATGTGCAAAGTTTGTGGCTTTGAGGTCCGGATTATAGATCATTCCAGATAATGGACGTCCGGATTACAGACTGTGTACTGTATATATATGTCATGATTCCGGGAACATAGAAGAGGAATTAGCTTGCAGTTGTCATAGCTGAGCATGAAGGCATACATATTATTAAGATAACAAAACATGAACTTGAAGAATTTCCACTTTTTATTTTCACACTTACAAAATCATCTCAATGGATGTTTATCTAATAATAATGAAATTCGAGTCATTTCTATGATTCAATCATAATGAAATATGATAAACTGCTATATACATTGATTCTTAAAATTAAGACACAGACACTTTAGACAGGGAAGCAAAGCGAGGTGATATTAGCAAGGTGAGCTAGCAGAAGAAGTGATGTAATTAACTGCCAGGGGTTTTTATACGAGATTAGGTGTGATTCTAGATATAAGCTATGATTGGTTAGTTGTTAGTTTTGGTTACCCTTTTCAAGCAGTGTTGCATAACATCAAAAGATTTCGAATTTAGAACAGAGGAATTTAGGGGGAGATTACCAAATCTAGCATGTTAATTTTGATGTTGCCAATTATTTTTTAAAACAGCTATTGTATTTTGTTGTATTGTACACATATAAATATAGTATGTATCCATACATATGCATATCTATATATGTAAGATACGCATTTATATTACAAATTTTTTACAGAGATGATTTTAGTGCAGTTATATGTTAAATTGTTATACTTTGCTGTGTAATGTAACATGAAAAATCGAAAGAGACAAACTACATCGGTAAAATAAGAATACAGGGGCAAGTCGGTTTAACATTGAATAAATGTACATCTTTGTAAATTGGTGAGATATCACCAATCTGGCAGAGTTTTGGCACTAATATTTGTTCCCAAATTTGGCGAGAGATCACCAAAAGTCGCCAGACTTGGCGACATTTTGATCCGTTCCCTGTATTGCCATAGTACAAGGTGGATGAAATTAAAAACACCCCTACTCTGAGCTCTCTATACATCGAACTACTGAGTGTAAAGGCCCCAAAATTGTTGAACATACTATTCAAGACATAGGGAAATGGATTACGTTAAAAAAATTAGTTCCAGAAACACCGATAGGTGGCACTGTGCAATGGAAAAATATGCTGAAAAGGCACAACTAATCACACACAAAAACAAACAGACATGAGGTATGGAAGTATTCCATTTTCATTTCTATTCTGATATGATAAAAAAAGAACACAAAAAAGTTAAGAAACTTAAACTGTCTTTGTAACTGCAATTTTGCTCTCTGGCCATCTTGTTCTACAGATCTTAATCCATGTGATTTTTGGCTGTGGGGTTACGTAAAAAATCTTGTTTATCAATGATGTCTGATAACTTTGGCAGATTTGAAAGAGAGTATCACTCTGCATATGAAAAGCATCTCAATCGACCAATTACGATCCGCAGTTGAACAAGCTGTCCACAGACTGCAGATTTTACATCTTGAAGAAGGAAACCATATTGAGCAGCCTCCCTTGCATCAGTAAGGTCTTTGTGATATGAATGGTACATTCAAATTAAATGTGTTATAAAGTGTATTTTGTGTCTTTTCAGCATATGTTCTGTTGTACAGTACCACCTATAGGTGTTTCTGGAACTAATTTTTTTTTTCACGTAATTCATTTCCCCATGTCTTGAATAGTATGTTCAACAATTTTGGGGATTTTACACTCAGTAGTATAGATGTATAGAGGGTGTTTTAATTTTAACCACCTTGTAGGTACTGTAATTGTTCACTATATTAGCTGTAACCATAATTCAGCCCTTATAATGCCTTACACTAATTTGGGGAAACAAAGTATTAGAAATATTTTGGCAGCCCGCTGAAAACTATATAATGCTGGAGAGAGCATCTGCTTTCAGTTGTCAGCTGTTAGAGCGAGTTCTGAATGCTATCTCTGGTTTACCTTTGCTCTTTAGATGCATTTTTTATTGCATTGTGTTTAACATTCATAGTAGTTTGAAGTGTCACGACTGATTGTACTCTGAGATAGTGTGAAAAGTTATATGACTATTTCTGTTGAATGTTCTAGGTCTCTGAAGTGTGCCTTTTGATAGAAATAAATTTAATCAACTTATTATCGTACATTCAATCTATTGTAAACCCGTATCGATGCAACAATATGTGTGATGTAATTACAAAGTGTGTATTTCTGAACATGTGTAAACCTATCGATGACAAATCATTGTATGTTTTGATAAACAACAGTGAATGTCTGATTTCATCAAGCTAGTGAAGAGGTGAAATAGATTCATTCTACCTCATCTGTTTACTATTCCTCTCCTGTCCTTCCTCCTTGAGTCGGAAATTCAAGCTACAGTGAGACTTGGTGTGAAATATTCATTCCAGGTGCATCATCATTGTATATGTCTTCAATGATGTCAACTAGTGCCATGGAAAGCAGCCTAAAATCTGTAATATTAATTCCCCCCTTGGATACTGTGTGTTGGACATGACTCAGAATGAGCTCTGTGGAAATCTGCATATCAAGCTGTATTTATCAATAATATTTCAACCCTGATTTAGCATTACGATATGGAGAGGAATCCTCTACAGTAGTATGTTGTCCCTTGTTATATAAAACAACATGGCAGCAAGCATTTAAAACAGAATAGTGAACCCATTGTGGTGTCATTAATGAATGATATTCAAGAGAGCTTATTTCAACAAGGTGATGCTCCTCTTTGTATTTCAATTACAGTCCAGCATGCTTTTTAAAGTATTAACATATCATGTGACCAGTAAAATTTCTCACTCTCTGCCATCAAACATGTATATACATTATCAGATATCAGGTCTGTGCTCTTCCCCAACCAATGATGAATACGCAAAGCATGATGCAGCAGGCTTGGAATGTTGCATGAATGCCTGGATTCTACAAGCTTGGAATTCTAACCATAAATCATTTTCTTATGAACAAGACATGCATGTCTTGTTGAACATCGATGTCTGATGATTACAGTGATTATTGATGCGACAAAAATTCTTATTTAAACTGGTGCCATGCAGGTACAGTATGAATGTCAAGTTCGTAACTTGCATGAATTTGCTAAATGGTACTGATAAACGCTGTCTGGATTTCATTCATCTAGCTTACCTACTTATAATTGGATTTTATATTCTATCAGTGCAGATTCTTATTGGCTTCTTAATATGGCATTCAAATTTATCCTATTTTTTATACTGAAATGTGGAAAGCATGCTGAAATAAACTTCCAAACAATATTTCTTTTATAACATAATGAAGAACTGAAAGTGAAAATGACATTTGCATTAAAAAATATACAAGCATTAATAGAATATGCAACAAGCTATGCTGAAACACAACTTTTTTAATTTTGAACAATTTTTAAAGAAACATTAGGCTTTACGTTATTTGTATCAATTTTTTAATCTAATACTACACTATATTTTTATGTATAAATGTCTGTGTATATTATAAATGAATAAAGAATGTATGTGTTGTAATGCAATATGTATGATTATTATAGCCAGTATGAGAACAGCAAAATTCACTGGTAGCATATTTACATAAAAAACAAAGTCTTAGAAATTCTCATAGTGCATGCCATGAAAACTGAGCATAAAAAATAAATAAGATATTATTTGAGATGTAGATAATCATTCTAACCATAGTGTCCATGAGCAGTCAAATGAAAAAGTGAATCTGGTATTTCAGCCTTGGTCGAAATCCTGGTAAGAAGTTTGACTGCATGTCATTTTTCATTTTTTCCTCATGTGTAAAGTGAATATGAACCAGTTTCCCATAGAGAGTCTTCCATGAAGGCATTTCTGCTCTTAATCAGACATTTCTACCATGCTTTGCGATAATCTGGTGTAATTCTTAATATGAGAGATCTTTTAAAATGTGTGCTGGAAATATTTGAGAAATAATTTGTGCTGTGAATTTAAATGTAACAATATAAATAGGTATTCTAAATGTAATCATGAGTGACTCATTGTTAAAGCAATTCTTGAAACTTTCTGAAGTAAGTGTTGTGTGTTTAAATATATTTTCTAACAACATGGTTATAAAAGCACTATTCTAGAACATCTTGTTGAACATTCTGAATGCACAAAACTGTTAGTAAATAATGTAAAAGTTGTGGGACTGCTTGGGGTAATTAGAAAAAGACACAGCTGCCAAGGACTTTCTAAGAGAAATTGGCTGATATTTATTTATATTGCCTGAGGAAAAATGCAAAAACTGACTTGTTATCAGGCCGCTGAACTTCCAGGATTACTATAAATGAAATTATGATCATTCAGCTGTTTTAAAGTTTCACACATTATAAGCATTTTATTCATTTTTATTTATCATTTTCTCTCCTCTTTTTATATCTGTCATTCTGTATTATACAATTTAAGATATAAAATTTCATGTTAAAAATTCTGGGCCAGAGAATAAATTTTTATAATCACCATGTATTATGCTTTTATTGAACATATCTTTAGTACATAAGCTGATTATCAAGTTCATTGAGCCTATATTTGTTTTTAGATAAATGCTGTATGATTTCAAGTGCAGTATCTTCAAAAATTCTTAAAAGCATTGCTACAAAAAATAAATTTCACTTTTTTGTAAGTATATACTTTTTCTCTTGACTTTTTTTTATATGTAGATTTTTAGATATTTTAGAATATGTTTTACATATTAGTTTAATCCTTTGCTCTTCATAAGCACTGCTGTGGCAACATGCATATTTTGCTACACAATTTCATATGTGCTGTTACAGTGACAACAATTTTTTAGTTTGAATCGTATCATAAGAGTCCCTGTAGTGCAGTGGCTCATGCGTCACACTATAGGTTTAGGTTTCAGTCCCCGGTTTGCCCTCAGGGGGCTCACTTTTGTGAGTACAGGTGTGGCAATCCCGAGGTACCCTAGCCCTTCAGGGGATCATCTTCTTGGTGAGACGGGTGTCACGATCCTGGAGCCCCAGTGATCTATCCTCTTTTCCGTCTCCTCTTCTCTTGGCTGGAACTTTTTCCCTTCCCTTCTCCCTTGTGGTTTCTCTCTACGGAGTTTGGGGCTCGTCACGAGAGGGCTGGAACAGACCTTGGTTCTAGGTTTTCGAGGACGAAAACTGCCCACGTGTTGCCGTGCGTGGAGACCCGCCGGGGGAAGGTAGTTTGGGGCGAGGGGCTGTCCCCAACACACTGCTTGGCCTCTGCTTCAGCTAAACGGGAGGCACCTTAGTCGTCCTCACGGGTGTCAATCGGCTGGTCACTAGTCCTTGTGTCAGTGGCTTGGGGTCAAGCTCTCGGGAGTACCTGCTTTCGGGAAAGCCGACTGTGGGGCTTCAGTTTGCGTATAGGTCCGGCTGGCCCTAACACAGGAATCTGTGTTCCCTTGTTGGGCTCCGTGGTGGGCGGGGCCGTCGGACCCGAATCTTTTCTCTTACAAACATGGCAAATTCACATATTTTTTTATTAAAAGATTTTGAAGTAACTCCAGTCTCTCAACCTAGTTCTGAAACGTCTACTACTAAACCAGTCACTCAACCTAGCTCTGAACCATCTACTAATAAACCAATCATTCAACCTAGTTCTGAAATGTCTACTACTAAACCAGTCACTCAACCTGTCACTCAACCTAGTTCTGAAAATTCTGCAAAAAAATTACGGACAGATGCAAATAAAAAAAATCAAAACAATAGTCCCCGTTTCCTAGTCATCTCTAGTCCTTCTGGCGAAATGCATAAGATGTCTCCTTTCGTAATAAACAAATACATCCAGTCTTGTATTGGTGAGCCGAGAAATATAAAGCGTCTCCGCTCCGGAGACTTGCTTATTGATACAAACTCAGCCACCCAGTCTGCTTCTTTACTTCAGATAACTAAACTTGGGCAAGCGAATGTCAATGTAAACACACATAAGTCACTGAACTATTGTCGTGGTGTAATCTCAGATTCGACCTTCTGTATGTTTCTGAAGAAGAGATCGCTTCTGAGTTATACCGAACAAAATGTCTGCGGTGTTGTTGTAAGGCGGATCAAGATGTATAAAGAAGGTAAGTTGATAGACACGAAACACGTGATCCTTACCTTCAACACGCCTGATCTGCCTAAGAATATTAAGGCCGGATATTTAAATATTCCTGTAAGACCTTATATTCCTAACCCTATGCGATGTTTCCAATGCCAGCGTTTCGGCCATTCTAAGACGTCTTGTCGTGGCAGCCTCACATGCGCCCGATGCTCACAGATTGGCCACGATTCTGAAAATTGTACCGCTGCGCCTTCGTGTATAAATTGCAAGGGTCAGCACCCAGCATTTTCACGCCTGTGCCCAAAATGGAAATCTGAAAAAGAAGTACAGACTCTTAAAGTTACCAGGAACATCTCGTATGCTGAAGCCAGAAAACTAGTTCAAAGCACACAGTTCCAACAAAACAAATCATATGCCAGTGCCGTTAAAACAACACGTAGCATTGCCACCCAAACATCAATAGGCATGCAGACTGTACCAAATAAAACCCAACCGAACACATCCAACAAGAAAACGGAAAAGTCAACTCATTTAATGCAAAATAAAGAAACAGTCATTCAAAGTAAACCCAAAACTGCCACTAAAAAAGTATCAAACAAAAATAGGAGTTCCAGCAATAGCTCTTTTGATGAAATGATTTCTGAATCTGTGGATTCAGACACTATGGAAGTAGAGGAGGGTCTAGAATCCCAGGCATACTTCCAAGAAAAAACCAAAAAAAGCACAGAAAGAACAAAACACCAGTCATAATGGCCTCGTCTCATGGAACTGTCACGGTTTCACCGAAATTTGCGACATCAAAGCCATAATAATGCTTATCATCCTGTATGCTTCGCATACAGGAAAATCAAATCTAAAACCAGAACAACAGGCAAAACTTTGAAGGTTTTACTTCGTCAGGAAAGATAACCTTGCAGGTGAGCGTGCCAGTGGAGGTGTAGGTCTCCTCACCTCACTGGATTATCCCTCAAATGTGTTTCTTTGACGACATCCCTCCAAGTGTCGCTACTCAAACAAATTTTGATATTGTTGTTACAGTCGTTTCTCTGTATTTGCCTCCAAATGAGCATATTGATCAGCAAGATTTAAATGGTCTTTTAGAGCAGCTGCCTGAGCCTTTCATCATAATAGGAGATTTTAATGGCCATAGTTCGCTCTGGGGTAGTAAAGATACAAATTGCCGAGGAAGACAAATTGAGCAGATGATCGAAGATCATAGCCTTTGTCTCCTAAATAATGGGCAGAATACGTACTTCCATGAGCCTTCGAGGACTTTCCACGCTCTCAACTTTGCCATCTGTTCACCGTCTCTGTTGCCATTTTGCACTTTTAAAGTCGGAAATGACCTGTACAACAGCGATCATTATCCCATTTTTGTATCTCTTGCACGAAGAGGAGCAAACCCCATGTCGAGACTCCCCGGTTTATACTGGACAGGGCAGACTGGGAGCTCTTCTCTTCCTCCGCAGAGCTCACAGAGGAAATGGTAGAAGATGTGCATATCGATGACGCTGTGGAAGCTGTACTAATACTATTATTCAGGCAGCTATGCTTTCGATTCCTAGAACATCAGGAAAAATACTAAAATATTCGAAACTGTGGTGGAATCGCGACTGTCATGAAGCACTGAAAAAACAGAAAAAAGCATGGGGTATTTTTCGTAGATATCCTACTCTGCGAAACCTCATAGCCTTTAAAAGAGCCAAAGCAAATGCATGAAAAGTCCAAAGTCAAAAGATCATGTCGGGATGGCATTTGTAATTAAAGACCACATAGAGGGCAGACGCTTGCACAATGCTTTCTCTGTCTTAACATCCGAACTAACTGCGATATATTATAGTCTTTTATACATCTCAAGGCTCTGCTACAAAAAGTTTATAATTTATACAGATTTGTATAGTGCTCTTAAATCAATAGAAGCATTTCCAAATACTCAAAATCCAGTAATAGTGGATGTTCTCAAGTTACATATAAACTTAATGAATCGTGGATATGAAATCCTGTACTGCGGGTTCCCGGGCATGTGGGAATAAAAAAGGGAAGAGTGGCAGATATCACAGCAAAATGTGCGTTGAAACGTCCAGTCGTCTCATCCCTTTTGCAGACATCTGTTGTTGTTGAAACAAAAGATCCGAAAAAAATGGCAGCAACTTTGGATGTTCAGCTTCAAAATAAATTAAGACATGTAAAACCTAGAATTGAGCACTGGTAATAACCAAAAATCGTAAGGAGGAAGTTCTTTTGACTTGCTCAGAATGGTCACACTAGAGTGACACATAGCTACCTTTAAAGCTGAAAAATGAACTGTTGTTTTAACTGTAAGTTTGTTTATCTGTTCGTCATATTTTAATTGAGTGTCCATGTTTTAAATAGGCTTCGCAGAAATATTTTAAGAGCTGTGACTTGCCTCTCGACCGTTTAATCGGAAAGAGAGGTCAATTGTAATTTATTTTATTATTAAAAGAGACTGGCTTTTATAACTTAATGTAATTTTTTGAAGATTATGTCTGGAATTTTAAAGGTGTGGTTTTAAACTTGGTTTTATCTGACTTCATCCTCTGGATTTGATACATTTGTCTACTTGTTTTTATTTATTGTATTTTAATTTCATCAATTGTACTCACCCCATCTCGTGTTTGGCGCACTATAATCATCTTTGGTTTTGCGCCATAATCTCTCTCTCACTCACTCACTCACTCAATCCCCGGTTTGGGCAATGTTGACTCAGCTTTTCTGTTCTTGAGTGGGTTGATAAATTGAGTACCAAATTCACTTGGTAACTAAGCACTAGGGGGGGCCTGTGACAAGCTCATCTTTTGTACTGCGTTTATGCTCATGCACCCCAGGGCTCACATTCAAGAAAACAGATATCAGGGCACTGCAGGCCATGCCTCATCAAGGGCTATTGTGCCATTAAGTTAAGTTTTAATCTTATAATATGCGTATTAAGTATACAAATCAAGTGATTTCTAGTAAGTTTGAAATAATTTTCTGACACTTAAGGTGGTTTTTAATTGTAATATGTATAGAAACAATGTGATGGACACTTATTTGATTGCAATGAAATTACTGATAAAAGGAGAAGCAGCTGTAATGACAGCGATACTGTAATGGCATTGGGGAGGGAAGGACAGTACCTGTACTTCCTCAGAAGTATTGGGGCTGTACAAGATTAGTTAACATGTATGTACGTAAAGACAACAAAGAGGAGGAGGATGTAAAACCAGGGAATATTGGGACATTTATACTATTAAGCATAAAATGCATGTAGGAGCACACCATGACCAGTTTCAAAAAGTGAACTTTAAAATTTATTCCTTGTAATATGTGTTAAGACAATGAATATAGCAATTTTCAGCTTTTGTTTCTTGGTCTAATAACATTTTTCACCAGGCCAAAAATTCTTTTCTAGTATTTTTACTATTTCAGTTTATGGTGGCATTCTTCCTTAACACTATTTTTCTAAATTATGCAAATTTGTAGTATGAATTGTGTACAGGAAAATAAACTGTAAATTTATTTGATTGTAGTTTATTTCTTTTACTACTAGTGGATCATATAGGGTGGTGCGTAAGAGTGGAAAATTTTGA